CTGGTTGTTGTTTTCCCAGGTTGGAAAAACAGAACCAGAGGTTGTTCACCAACCTACCACCTGCTATTTTGTCCAGCCAGGTTGGTTCTGTTGCTTGGAATTATTTGGGATCATCCCTGGTTGTTCCCAGGTTGATTCCAAGGTCCTTGCTGCACTAGAACTATTTATTCCTTCTGTAGTTGTACCTGAATATAGTGAATTGATTCAAGCGAATTCCTTCCTTGGCTGGAATTTCCTTTCTACACGTGCGACGGCGGAATGCTACCCGTCAACCGCTAGTACGCTAGCACTCCAACGCTAGGCAAACGCTGTCGCGAGCCATAACTTCGTAATGGCAGAACTTTTTTCAAGCAACCTGGTTCATTTTAAAGCTCTTGGAGCGAGCTTCGATATAGTAAATTCATCCAGCTTAATCCGATCAATGGTCTGCACGATTCGCTGCGCGACGTTCAAGGTACTTTGCCTGTTTTGACTAAGTCCCTCTTGATCCCTCTCTCTACAAACTCGGACCCGAGGATAGGGGCTGGTCTTGTAACCAGGCACCCAAGGACCCTTGAGGTGTCCCGAGGAGAGGTTTAAGTTGATAAAGTCTTAATAGCTTGAGTTTATTAGGCCCTTACACCACAGGTACTAGGAGTAAATCCTTTTCTAAGTGTATCGATGGTACCCTAGAGTAAATGCGTTATTTAGCTGTATTAATGGTACCAAAGAGTAAGTGCGTTATTTAACATAATTAGTGGTACTAGGAGTAGGTGCGTTACTTAGCCAAATGAATGGTAACAGAAGTAAGTGCGTTACTTCCAAATGAGTAGTACTTTGAGTAGGCGTACTTAACGATATAAGTCGTACTAAGAGTGAGTGTATGTCGTAGGTGTAGGGGTGGTACCAAGAGTATTGCGTTACTTAGCCTCATGAGTAATATTACTAGGAAGTACGTTACTTAGCCATATGAGCGGTACGTTATAATAAGTACGTTATTTAGCGATATGGTGTGGTACTAAGAGTAACGCGTTACTGAATCATATGAGTGGTTACTTAGAGTAAATGCCGTTACCTAGATGTATGAGTGGTACCCACAAAAAGTGCGTTATTTTGCTGTATAGCAGTGGTACCAAGAGTAAGTGCATTACTTAGTCATATGAGTGGTACTAGGAGTAAGTGCGTTATTTAGCCATATGAGTGGTACTAAGAGTTAGTGCGCTACTTTGCCACATTAGTTTGGATTAGTAGTTAGTGCGTCAATATGAGTGGTACTAAGAGTAAATGTGTTTATATTGCTGTAGAGTGGTACCAGAATAAGTGCCGTTACTTAGCCAAATGAGTGGTACGAACATTATGTGCGTTACTTAGTGATATAGTGGTACTTAGCCTAAGTGCGTTACTTACCTGTATGCATGGTACTAAGAGAAATTATATTCTTTGCCATTTGAGTGGTTCTACAAGTAGGTGCGTTACATAGCTTCTATGAGTGGTACTAATAGTAAGGGCGTTATTTATCCATACGAGTGGTACGAAGATTAAGTGCGTTACTTAGCCGTTTGAGTTGTACTAGGAGTAAAGGCGTTACATAGAGATATGAGTGGTTACTAAGAGTATGTGAGTTACTTAGCCATATGAGTGGAACTAAAGAGTACATTCCATCACTTAGCGATATGAGTACTAGAAGCGTTACATAGCTGGGTGAGTGGTACCAAGAGTAAGTGTGTTACTAAGCCTGGTGGGAGGTTCTAAGAGTAAGTAAGTACTTGGTTATATGATTTATACTACTAAAGTTACTTTGTCATATTAGCGGTACTACGAGTAAGTGCGTTACTTAGCGATATGAGAGTAACTACGATTAAGCGCATTACTTGACCATGGTACTACGAGTAAATGCGTTACATAGCGATATGAGTAGGATAAAGGGTAAGTGCGTTACAGCAGTGTTGGTACACAGAGTAAATTCCGTTATTTAGCTGTATGAGAGGTACCAAAACTAAGTGCGTTAATTAACCAAATGAGTGGTACTAAGAGTAAGTGTAATTCTTAGCCATATGAGTGATATTACGAGTAAGTGCTTAACATAGCCATATAAGTAGAACTTAAAGAAAGTGCTTTACTTAGCCAAATGAATTGTACTAAGAATAAGTGCGATGGTAAGCCATATCAGTGGTACTAAGAGTAAGTGCGTTACTTAGCGATATGAGTTGTACTAATAGTAAATGCGTTACTTAGCCATATGAGTGGGTTTCCAAGAATAAGCACGTTACTTAGCCTCATGAGTGGTACTACAAGGAAGTGCGTTACTTAACTATATGGGTAGTACTAAGATAAATTGCGTAACTTAGCCATATAAGCAATGCTCAGAGTAAGTGCGTTACTTAGGTGTATGAGTGGTACCAAGAATGAATGCGTTATTTAGCTGTATGAGTGGTACCAAGAGTAGGTGCGTTACTTAACCATATCATCCGTACTTGTGTTGGGTGCAAATTCACATTGCACGACATCCTGCCGTCTGTTTGTACGAGTATGCGTGTGCGAATGCATTTGCGTGTGAATCGTATGTTCGTATGTTTGTTTGTTTTCGCAATTTTTGCTTGAAGCATTTGCAGGTACTCGCACAATGTGTGCTTCGGCACAACATTGTACGCGCTATGAACAGTGTTAGCAGAAAGGACGACGCGCAAAGGAACCCAAGATGGAAGCTTTGCAGTTCGGTCGAATTGATTGCGCAGATTCAGTTCTATCCAACTTGTAATTGTACTGTTTTGTTTTGTTAACTATATTGTAGCAGGGCAGGCACTATAGGGGTACAATTCAGGTGACGATTGGATGTTGTTTGTCTGTATCTGCATGCTACAAGGCCACGGGAAACCAGCAGAACCAGTATTTGGCTGGTTGGGCAAAGGACAAAACAGGTTCTGTTTTTAGGACCTGAACCTGGTTGTTGTTTTCCTAGGTTGGAAAACCAGAACCAGAGGTTGTTTCCAACCTACCACCTGCTGTTCTTGTGAGAGTACGTCAGCTTATGCTTGTTATTCATGCTTGCTATTATTTCCTTACGTTATTCCTAGCTTAGCATTATTTTCTGCATGCATGAATTGCTTGATTTCCTAGGTTCATTGCTATACTATAGTTATTATAGTTATAGGCACCGAACCAGGTTATGTGCACCGAACTCAAGCTATTCGGTTGCCGCCAAATTGCTTTCTACCGAGTACGGGAAGGTTCTGTTCGGGACGCTTCGCGACCCTCAGAACATTCGCGTAACACCTGGGTAACCTTCCTTGTGTCGAGCCTATATATAGCCTCATGTTGTACCCAGGTGATCATTCAATTCAATTTGAATCATCTTTTCTGAGCTCGATCCCAGATCCTCACAGTTTTTTTCCAGCCAGGTTGGTTCTGTTGCTTGGAATTATTTGGGATCATCCCTCGTTGTTCCCAGGTTGATTCCCAAGGTCCTTGCTAGCTAGAACTATTTATTCCTTCTCTGTTTGTACCTGAAAACAGTGAAATTGATTCAAGCGAATTCCTTCCTTGCTGGAATTTCCTTTCTACGCGGTGCGACGGCGGAATGCTACCTGAGTCAACGCTAGTACGCTAGCACTCCAACGCTAGGCAAACGCTGTCCGAGCCATAACTTCGTAATGGCAGAACTTTTCGCGAGGCAGCTTGGCCCATTTTAAAGCTCTTGGAGCGAGCTTTGATATAGGAAATTCCTCAGCTTAATCCGATCAACGGTCTGCACGATACGCTGCGCGACGTTCAAGGTACTCTTGCTGTTTTGACTAAGTCCCTCTTGATCCCTCTCTCTACAAACTCGGACCCGAGGATAGGGGCTGGTCTTGTACCAGGCACCCAAGGACCCTTGGAGGTGACCCCGAGGAGAGGTTTTAAGTTTGATAAAGTCTTAATAGCTTGAGTTTATTAGGCCCTTACACCAACAAGCTGGTATCAGAGCTGCGTTATAGTGATCCTCGATATAGGTAGCTATGGCGGGCAACACCTCGACGGGAGCTGGTGAATCTTCAGCCCAAGATCGTAGCGGCAGCCAAGATTCTGGTGTTTCAGCGCAAGGGGAGCGCGAACAAGCCAGGGCTCGCTGGTCAAGGAGGGGCTGAAGAATTTTACCGTCGAGAAGTTCAATGGTGAGGGCTATGATGATTGGGCCTGGAAAATACAACTATATTTCCATCAGATTGGATTGCTGAAACTAATCGTTGGGGAGGAGCCTAGACCAAGTGACCCCGCGCTACAGGAAGATTGGGATGAGCGCTCCTCGGCTGGCTATTATTTGATGTCATAGAGTTTGGAGCTGAACCAGGGTCACCACGTCATGCACCTGCTGCCGGAGGTTGAGTGCGGTCCGAGGCGTGGACGGTGTTGAAGGAGCTGCACGCCCCGACCTCCGTTGTTGCAACGTTGATGCTGTAGAAAGAGCTGTCTGCGTTGCGCCTGAGCGAGGGAGAACCGGTGCAACCTGTCCTGGATCAGATGTGCGACCTCTACGCGAAGTTGGCGACCGCGGGAATCACCTACCCGGAGCAGACCAAGTGCCTGAAGATGCTCTCTCGCTGCTGCCGTAATCGTGGCTTCAATTCACGAGCGGATTGAGCCTGCCCCAGAACCAGAGCTCAGGAACACTCGAGTGGGTGCGGGCAAAGATTCTGGAGGAGGACTTCCGTCGCCGCCATCTGAGGGGTGGAGACGACGGCAGCAGCGGCTACGGGATGCAAGGGAGCCGACGTGGCAAAGGACGTGGCTTCAGTGGTGCTGGACGCGGTACAAAGAAAGACGACGACTCCAACGACCAACAAGGAGGTACCGGTTGGGGTCGCGGTGCGAAATCTGGACGTGGGGGCAAGTCGGGTGCTGGTGGCAAAATGAAAGGGAGTTGCTGGTATTATGAGAAGGAAGGGCACCCCTGGTTTTTGTGCTATAAGAAACCCGATGGATGGACCCCCCAGAATCGTCACCAGGATGGCGGCGCGCGGAGGAACCAGAAAAACGGCGCCAACATGGTCGCTGATTCGTCCGACAACAACCCGAAGGGCAACGGCGGTGCGGAAAAGAAGGAGGAGCGCACCGCGGGCCAATTCTTTCATATGGGAGACAAGGGGGAGCAAGGAGACGCATCTGCTAAGGCTGGAGCAGAGCTGCACCCCCTGGACTATTGGGTGTTGGACACAGGCGCTGCTTAGACAATGACGCCGCGCAAGGACCTGCTGGACGACATACGCGCTGCACCGATTAATGAGGTGTGCTCTGCCTCTGGACACATGTTGAAGGTGGCTGGTGCGCGACAAGCTGCGTTTAAGGGAGCGGATGGCAAGCCGGTGGTGCTGCACGACGTTCTCCTCGTCCCCGACCTGAAGGCCAACCTTATCTCCCTCCGTAAGCTTGGCCAGGCTGGGGAGAACAACAACACAGATGGGGCTCGCACTTATATGGGGAAGCTGGGCAATCGGGTGCTTTGGGATCTGCACGAGAGCAAGGACGTGTACAGGTCTATGTGGCAGCTGCCGGCGCTGGCGTGGCACGGTGGGGGGCAGGCTGGAAGGGGGTCTGCATCCCAGGGGGAGTGCAACGCCGTTGGAGGGGTTGGTGTGAAAGTGTCGGCCAGATCTGGGGAGACAGATTGGGCAACTGCACACCGACGTTTGGGGCATGTGGCAATGCCTTTGCTGAAGCAGCTGGAGACGGATGGAGCCGTTAAAGGCTTGAAGCTGAACGGACAACCACCCGATGATAACTGTGAAATTTGCCTCCTTTCAAAGTTCACCCGTTTCCCCTTCCATAGTGTGGCTGGCAGGAGCAAAAAGCCGTTGGAGCTGGTCCACATGGACTTGGTGGGGCCGCTGCCAGTGCAAGGGCACAAGGGGGAGCGGTACTTCCTAACCATAGTGGATGACTGGAGCAGGCTAATGTGGGCGTATCCGCTGAAGCAGAAAGATCACGCTGCCTCCACGATTCGGGACGATTGGCTGCCGTTCGTGGAGAAGCAAGCGGAGTGTGTGGTGAAGCGAATTAGGACAGATCGGGGTGGTGAGTTCCTTGGAGCTGAGATGACGGCCTGGCTCAAGAAGCAGGGCATCCAGAGGGAGCTGACCACGTCTTACACCCCACAGTCCAACGGTGTAGCAGAACGGGCGAACCGGACAATTTTGGAGACAGCTAGGGCGCTGCTCATAGAGTCTGGGCTGGGCAACTTGATGTGGCCCCATGCTGTTCGGCACGCTACCGTCGCTAGGAACAGGGTACTCACAAAGGTTGGGGATAACTCGTGGGTTCCGTTGGAGAGGTGGCTTGGGAGGAAGCCGCTGGTGGACATGCTGAGGGTGTTCGGTTGCATGGCAGTCGCCCACGTCCCCAAGACCTACCGCAGTAAGTTGGGGGCGAGTGCAATCTGGTATGTGCATTTGGGGCTGGCTGCTGAGAGCAAGGGATGGCTGCTGTGGGAACCATCCAAGGGTGTGTTGTTTGACAGCAGGGATGTGAAGTTTGTTGAGGGCATGATGTATGGGAGCTGGGAGAAACAGCCGGAGGCCAGGGGTGTCCCAGCAAATGAATCAGATCACCATGCAGCTGGACCTGACTCCTAGTGTGTGGGAGGAGGGAGAGGAGGCAGCTGCAGAGGGTGGTGATGGAAAGAAGGTACACGAGGCACCTGCTGGTGGAGAAAATGATGTGGAGATTGGCACTAGTGGAGCTGCTGGATCTCAGGGGAGAGAGCAGCAGCAAGGGAAAACTAAGAAGCCGAAGGGTGTCCTTATGAAGGGATGGGAGACACCCGTCTCCAGGCCAGGACGTACCCGTATGGCTACTAAAAAGCTGACTGCAGGAGCTGATGTAGCTGAGCAGCAGCTTGGGACCGAGGAGGCATTGCTGATTCTACCGCATGGCAATGACCCGGATGAGGAGGATGAGCCTGCGGACTGTTTTCTTGCCCCTGCACCAGAGGAACCAGCTAGCATGGAGGAGGCATTAGCTGGACCAGATAGGGACAAATGGCTAGCTTCTAGGGATGCTGAGTACCAGAGCCTGCTGGAGAATGGGACTTGGGAAATAGTGGTGCTGCCTGAGGGAAAGAAAGCGGTACAATGCAAGTGGGTGCTAAGGATCAAGACTGACGACAAGGGGCAGGTCACCATCTACAAGAATAGGCTGGTGGCTAAGGGGTTTATGCAGAAGGAGAAGCGGGACTTCAATGAGATGTTTGCTCCCACTGCCAAACCCCCTACCCTCCGTGTCTTGTTGGCAGATGCAACCGTTAGTGGGAAGTTCATTATCCAGATGGACATATCAACGGCATTCCTAAGTGGGATTTTCGAGGAGGATGTGTACATGACGCAGCCACCTGGGTATTAGGATGGTACGGGCAGGGTGTGCAAGCTGAAAAAGTCCATCTACGGCTTGAAGCAGGCGCCACGCTGCTGGTACCACAAGTTGGCAGCTGTTTTAGAGGAGATGGGATTCAGGACCAGCAGCTGTGATGAGAGCCTCTTTCTCAAGGGGGAGGGGAAGAAGCTGGTGCTGTTTCTGGTCTATGTGGACGACATTCTTCTCTTTAGCAGCAGCATGAAGGAGATCCAGAAGGTGCAGCAGCAGCTGATGGAGAACTTCAAGTGCAAGAACCTTGGGGAGGTAAAATATTACCTCGGGATGCACGTAGAGAGGGATCTGGATCACAGGTGGTTGAAGCTGCACCAGGAGAAGTTCATCAAGGAGCTTGGGGAGAAGTACGGAATTGAGAACGAGCGCAAGGTTGCAACTCCCCTGCCAGCAGAATTCAAGCTTGTGAAAGCTGCAGAGGATGAAGGGGTTGAAGCCGAGGAGCAGCAGCAATTTCAGTCCTTGGTGGGCAGCCTCTTGTATGCAGCTGTTCACACGAGGCCCGACATCTCTTTCTCGGTTGGGCAGCTGGCTAGGGTGGTGCAGAATCCATCAGAGGAGCAGGTGGATGCAGCTGAGCGTGTGGTGAAGTATCTGAACTCTCACCCAAGCATTGGAGTTCAATACTCCGCATCTGCACAGGTGAAGGAGAAAGGGGTTGAGGTGCTGAAAGAGAAAGGGGAGAGGCTTGGAGAAGGCAAGCTCTTTCTCACTTGCTTTACCAATGCTACGTGGGCCTCTGAGAAGGAGGATTCCTCATCTGTGGGAGGATTCATCTGCGTAGTTGGGGGAGGACCAGTTAGTTGGAGGTCAAAGAAGCAGACGGAGACAGCACTCTCTTCCGTGGAATCAGAGTACATGGCGATGTTCCATGGGATGAAGGAGGTGATTTGGCTGAGGAGGCTGTTGGAGGAGATTGGCCAGGAGCAAAAGGTTGCTACGCCGCTGTTTTGTGATAGCAAGGGAGCTCTTGGGATGGCCAGGAACGCTGTGCTTCATGGGCTGAATAAGCACACGCGTATCAAGTGGCACTGGCTGCGTAAGGAGGTGAAGAGGGGGACGGTGAATCCGATCTACATCAAGACTCACCAGCAGCCAGCAGACTTCCTCACCAAGAGGCTTGCGGATGAGCCTCATTGGCGTTGTGTGCGCATGAGTGTAATGAGCATGAACTAGTATGGAATGATGGGGATGCAGCCAGCAGGCTGAGAGGGAGTGTGTTGGGTGCAAATTCACATTGCACGACATCCTGCCGTCTGTTTGTACGAGTATGCGTGTGCGAATGCATTTGTGCGTGAATGGTATGTTCGTGTGTTTGTTTGCTTTCGCAATTTTCGCTTGAAGCATTTGCAGGTTCTTGCTCAATGTGCGCTTCGGCATAACATTGTACGCGCTATGAACAGTACAAGCAGAGAGGATGAGCTTGCAAAGGAACCCAAGATGGAAGCTTTGCGGTTCGGCTTACTTGATTGCGCAGATTCAGTTCTATCCAGCTCAAAATGGCACTGTTTTGTTTGGTTGACTATAGTATAGCAGGGCAGGCACTATAGGGGTACAATTTAGGTGAAGGTTGGATGTTGTTTGTCTGTATTTGATGCTACAGGGCCAGGGAAACCAGCGGAACCAGCATTTGGCTGGTTGGGCAAAGACAAAACAGGTTCTGTTTTTAGGACCTGAACCTGGTTGTTGTTTTCCCAGGATGAAAAAACAGAACCAGAGGTTGTTCACCAACCTACCACCTGCTATTTTGTCCAGCCAGGTTGGTTCTGTTGCTTGGAATTATTTGGGATCATCCCTGGTTGTTCCCAGGTTGATTCCCAAGGTCCTTGCTAGCTAGAGCTATTTATTCCTTCTCTGTTTGTACCTGAATATAGTGAAATTGATTCAAGCAAATTCCTCCCTTCCTGGAATTTTGTTTCTACGCGGTGCGACGGCAGAATGCTACCCGAGTCAACGCTAGTACGCTAGTACTCCAACGCTAGGATATTCTCAACTTAATCCGATTTAAGGTCTGCACGATACGCTGCGCGACGTTCAAGGTACTCTTGCTGTTTTGACTAAGTCCCTCTTGATCCCTCTCTCTACAAACTCGGACCTGAGGATAGGGGCTGGTCTTGTACCAGGCACCCAAGGACCCTTGGAGGTGACCCCGAGGAGAGGTTTTAAGTGTGATAAAGTCTTAATAGCTTGAGTTTATTAGGCCCTTACACCAAGAGTTATGGCTCGGACATCGTTAGCCTAGCGTTGGAGTGCTAGCGTACTAGCGTTGACTCGGGTAGCATTCCGCCGTCGCACCGCGTAGAAAGGAATTTCCATTAAGGAAGGAATTCGCTCGAATCAATTTCACTATATTCAGGTACAAACAGAGAAGGAATAAATAGCTCTAGCTAGCAAGGACCTTGGGAATCAACCTGGGAACAACCAGGAATGATCCCAAATAATTCCAAGCAACAGAACCAACCTGGCAGGACAAAATAGCAGGTGGTAGGTTGGTGAACAACCTCTGGTTCTGTTTTTCCAACCTGGGAAAACAACAACCAGGTTCAGGTCCTAAAAACAGAACCTGTTTTGTCTTTGCCCAACCAGCCAAATGCTGGTTCCGCTGGTTTCCCCAGGCCCTGTAGCATGCAGATACAGACAAACAACATCCAACCTTCACCTAAATTGTACCCCTATAGTGCCTGCCCTGCTACACTAAAGTTAACCAAACAAAACAGTACAATTTTGAGCTGGATAGAACTGAATCTGCGCAATCAAGTAAGCCGAACCGCAAAGCTTCCATCTTGAGTTCCTTTGCAAGCTCCTCCTTTCTGGTGGTACTGTTCATAGCGCGTACAATGTTATGCCGAAGCGCACATTGAGCAAGTACCTGCAAATGCTTCAAGCGAAAATTGCGAAAGCAAACAAACACACAAACATACCATTCATGCACAAATGCATTCGCACACGCATACTCGTATAAACAGACGGCAGGATGTCGTGCAATGTAAATTTGCACCCAACACACTCCCCCTTAGCCTGCCGGCTGCATCCCCATCATTCCATACTAGTTCATGCCGGCCCGCCATAGCTACCTATTACGAGGGATCACTATAACGCAGCTCTGATACCAGCTTGTTGGTGTAAGGGCCTAATAAACTCAAACTATTAAGACTTTATCAAACTTAAAACCTCTCCTCGGGGTCACCTCCAAGGGTCTTTGGGTGCCTGGTACAAGACCAGCCCCTATCCTCGGGTCCGAGTTTGTAGAGAGAGGGATCAAGAGGGACTTAGTCAAAACAGCAAGAGTACCTTGAACGTCGTGCAGCGTATCGTGCAGACCGTCAATTGGATTAGCTGAGAATTTTCTTTATCGAAGCTCGCTCCAAGAGCTTTAAAATGAACCAAGTTGCCTCGCGAAAAGTTCTGCACATGAGTGGAATGAGTATGAACTAGTATGGAATGATGGGGATGCAGCCGGCAGGCTGAGGGGGAGTGTGTTGGGTGCAAATTCACATTGCACGACATCCTGCCGTCTGTTTGTACGAGTATGCGTGTGCGAATGCATTTGCGTGTGAATGGTATGTTCGTGTGTTTGTTTGCTTTCGCAATTTTCGCTTGAAGCATTTGCAGGTACTCGCACAATGTGCGCTTCGGCATAACATTGTACGCGCTATGAACAGTACAAGCAGAAAGGACGAGCTCGCAAAGGAACCCAAGATGGAAGCTTTGCGGTTCAACTTACTTGATTGCACAAATTCAGTTCTATCCAACTCGAAATTGTACTGTTTGTTTGGTTGACTATAGTGTAGCAGGGCAGGCACTATAGGGGTACAATTTAGGTGAAGGTTGGATGTTGTTTGTCTGTATCTGCATGCTACAGGGCCAGGGGAAACCAGCGGAACCAGCATTTGGCTGGTTGGGCAAAGACAAAACAGGTTCTGTTTTTAGGACCTGAACCTGGTTGTTGTTTTCCCAGGTTGGAGAAACAGAACCAGAGGTTGTTTACCAACCTACCACCTGCTATTTTGTCCAGCCAGGTTGGTTCTGTTGCTTGGAATTATTTAGGATCATCCCTGGTTGTTCCCAGGTTGATTCCCAAGGTCCTTGCTAGCTAGAGCTATTTATTCCTTCTCTGTTTGTACCTGAATATAGTGAAATTGATTCAAGCGAATTCCTTCTTTGATGGAATTTCCTTTCTACGCGGTACGACGGCAGAATGCTACCAGAGTCAACACTAGTACGCTAGCACTCCAACGCGAGGCTAATGCTGTCCGAGCCATAATTTCGTAATGGCAGAACTTTTCGCGAAGCAATTTGGTTCATTTTAAAGCTCTTGGAGCGAGCTTCGATATAGTAAATTCTCAGCTTAATCCGATCAACGGTCTGCACGATACGCTGCGCGACGTTCAAGGTACTCTTGCTGTTTTGACTAAGTCCCTCTTGATCCCTCTCTCTACAAACTCGGACGCGAGGATAGGGGCTGGTCTTGTGCCAGGCATCCAAGGACCCTTGGAGGTGACCCCGAGGAGATGTTTTTAAGTATGATAAAGTCTTAATAGCTTGAGTTTAATAGGCCCTTATACCAACACCAAGACCTAGTGACCCTGCCCTTCAGGAAGATTGGGACGAGCGCGCCTCGGCTGGCTACTACTTGATGTCGCAGAGTTTGGAGCTGAACCAGCGTCACCACGTCATGCACCTGTTGCCGGAGGTTGAGTGCGGTCCGAAGGCGTGGACGGTGTTGAAGGAGCTGCACGCCCCTAAATCTGTCGCTGCGACGCTCATGATATAGAGGGAGCTGTTCGCGTTGCGCCTAAGCGAGGGAGAGCCGGTGCAACCCATCCTTGACGAGATGCGTGATCTCTACAAGAATCTGGCGATCGCGGGAATCACCTACCCGGAGCAGACCAAGAGCCTGAAGATGCTCTCGCTGCTGCCGGAATCGTGGCTTCAATTCACGAGCGGATTGAGCCTGCCGCAGAACCAAAGCTTGTGGACGCTCGAGTAGGTGCGGACGATGATTCTGGAGGAGGACTTCCGTCGCCCCCAACTGAGGGGTGGAGACGACGGCAGCAGAGGCTACGGGATGCAAGGGAGCCGACGTGGCAAAGGACATGGCTTCGGTGGTGCTGGACGCGGTGCAAAGAAAGACGACGACTCCAACGACCAACAAGGAGGTACCGGTTGGGGTCGCGGTGCGAAATCTGGACGTGGGGGCAAGTCGGGTGCTGGTGGCAAAATGAAAGAGAGTTGCTGATATTGTGAGAAGAAAGGGCACCCCTGGTTTTTGTGCTATAAGAAACCCGATGGATAGACCCCCCAGAATCGTCACCAGGATGGCGGTGCGCGGAGGAACCAGAAAATCGGCACCAATATGGTCGCTGATTCGTCCGACAACAACCCGAAGGGCAACGGCGGTGCAGAGAAGAAGAAGGAGCGCATCGCGGGCCAGTTCTTCCATATTGGAGAAAGGGGGAGCAAGAAGACGCTTCTGCCAAGGTTGGAGTAGAGCTGCACCCTCTGGACTATTGGGTGTTCGACACGGGTGCTGCTTGGACAATGACGCCGCGCAAGGACCTGCTGGACCACGTTCGAGCTGCACCGATCAACGAGGTGTGCTCCGCCTCTGGACACGCGCTTAAGGTGGCTGGTGCAGGACGAGCTGCGTTTAAGGGAGCGGATGGCAAGCCGGTGGTGCTGCACGACTTTCTCCTCGTCCCCGACCTGAAGGCCAACCTTATCTCCCTCCGTAAGCTTGGCAAGGCTGTGAACACCAACATGGATGGGGCTCGCACTTATAAAGAGAAGCTGGGCAACCGGGTGCTTTGGGATCTGCACGAGAGCAAGGACTTGTACAGACTGTTGGTGTAAGGGCCTAATAAACTCAAGCTATTAAGACTTTATCAAACTTATAACCTCTCCTCGAGGTCACCTCCAAGGGTCCTTGGGTGCCTGGTACAAGACCAGCCCCTATCCTCGGGTCCGAGTTTGTAGAGAGAGGGATCAAGAGGGACTTAGTCAAAACAGCAAGAGTACCTTGAACGTCGTGCAGCGTATCGTGCAGACCGTAGATCGGATTAAGCTGAGAATTTACTATACTGAAGCTCTCTCCAAGAGCTTTAAAATGAACCAAGTTGCCTCGCGAAAAGTTCTGCCATTACAAAGTTATGGCTCGGAATAAATAGCTCTAGCTA